GGACTTCACAGTTAAGCCGAAGATGTGGGAGTCGATTAAAATTAACAGAACAAACAACATCATGAATAAGAGAAATGAATGTAGAAAAATGAGTAAGAACTTTATCTGGTTTCTAAATAGAATGAGGTGGAGAGAGAAGGAAAGGGAACGGGAGTAGCCATGGGGTAAGAGGAGAATGCTAGACTAAGCTGGTGCTTGCTTTTGAGCATAAAATTGTCGACCAACTCGGGGTTGTTGCATACGCATGCAAACACGCATCCGCGAGGCTGTAACAAGACTCAGGAAAACTGGACCATACTCTAGTTTATTTAATCGAAAGTATGAAGGCCAAGATGGTGTGGCCTTTTGTGTGGTCGCAGTCTCCTTTCATTGTATAGAGGTTGTTTGACCTTGTTTTCACAACTTGGTCATATTTGTAGGAAGACGTAGAGGAACGCACCTAGTCCGGAGTCCATTTTATGCATATTACTTTCCAAAGTCGAACCCTGGACATGGTACATTCCCAAACGTTTCGCCGGCATCATAGACTGGGCATTGGTGAAAATTTGGTGTATGGGTTAATGTATTAAGATGAAATTCTGCACTGTCATGGTTCGAGTCCCGCTTAGGGTGTTGATAATACCTAGGCGAGGTCGAAACTGCAGCCCACCCTGGATAAGAATACCTTTTGGGAAAGCAAGGCTATGTGAAATTCAATGGAAACGCAGGTTTTGCTCATATCCTCGTATAAAACTTCGGCTACCACTCATTCATCACATTAAACTAAATAGGGTGAGCACATATCATATATCAAAACGAAAAATTAAAAAATTGTTTCATCAAGTCTTTAAAACATCTACTACTGATAGCCCAGAAAACTACTTTAATCGAATTTTAAATGTAGATAGGATTGTAATCAGCGGCCTTTTCTGACGTAGTTTTTGAGGAAATTTGCATCAAGGATGCTTTCGCGCTCTCTCGATGTTCTTCAGAGATGCAGATCATGCACACATGAATCGGGGTCACAGGATGATTCACTGAACACTTATTTGCACAAGCTAAAGGCCTCAAAGCCTATGCAATTCTCGTTCCGTTTCCGGTGAAACTAATTCACGAAGCACTTCCAAATAACTTTTACTACGAAACGAAATGTCAAGTGGCATTACCCTTAGTCTCTCCCGTAATATTTCGATCTAATCACTAAGGCACACATGGCACTTCATCAGGTTCACTTTCAATGCGCTTTACTAAATGCCAACTGTATGAATGCTGCTAGTGTTGCAACTACTCGAAAGACGTTGAAGACAACATCGTTTAGAGATTAGCTTTATTCGGCATACCCTAAGCGTCATAAGTTTTGCCACTTCTGTCAAGGACACCTCTCTTAGTGCAAATTCGAGTTTGCAAAATGCCAAGAAATACTTGGCCGATTTCGATTCATTCGTTCTTATGGAATGCTAATAATTCCATACTTCCCATTTTCCGTTGGTAAAAGCAACTCTGAATGTGCTTGTTTGTATGTGTGTTTATGTGTGCATGAATGTTTGAATACCTGTCAGCACTTTTATGCAGATGTATGCTTTTCGAATAGGCAAATTTCTTAATTACAGATTCGATTAAACGTCTTTTCCTAATTGGATGACTTAGGTTCGAACCTTTCCACGGCTTAGTAAATTAGAGAGATGAAATCAATAAGTTAATATTTATTAATTAATGAGTAATATTAATAATTAGTTAGAAGTGAATAAATAAATAATTTTGCGGAAAACTTTCTATTACTGAAAAAGTGAAGCATCGGACCAAAAAAAATTATTAAAACTTTGTGACCGAACGTTCCTTCACTATGCAGAATCATATGCCTTACTAAGGCTGAAATAAGTTAACTCTGTTCTTCATTTTTCTACTCCAAGGCCTGAGACTTGAATAAAAAAGGTGTTTGCTTAAAATCTGTACATTTCATTGTACTTTAGGTCTCAAATGGCTTCCCAATGCAGCATGAAGTGTACTTTCGAACTCGCCAAGCCTTAATCAGTCCTATGAGAAGATCCATATCCAGTTATGAATTAGTTAATGAATGAACTTCTATTGGGAACTGAAAGATGATATTGTTTAATGCTTTCGCCATTTGCTTCCACTATAAGGTGAATTCTGAAGACTATCAAGAATTTCTTAATGTTTCACTAAATCTTCGCCAAAATGGCTCACTGAGGCGAGAGCTCTTCTGACGTCTGTTTAGGACAGAAAAATAGCGAAGGAACATAGAAATCTTGGCGCCCTCACCAAAGGTTCAATAACCCTTGCATAAAATTGTTGAGAAATGGTCATACTGATTACATTATCTACTAGTTCATTGAGTTCCACTCAAAAAGAGAATAGCCCTTAAAGTAGAAATCATCTTAACTCAAATGGAAAGATATCTCAAAGGAGGCATTTGCAACTACTATCTCATCCTCAAAGTCAATGTTGCCGGCCGAAACCAACGAGACAGCCACTCTCCAGGTCTACCCCTTTGCGTTTAGTTATGGCTGTCGCAGTATAGGTTGTCGTGTTGCTAGAGGCAACAGGCTAAACCTTCTTCGAAAGAGTTGTCGTGGGACGAACTTTGTCGTGCCGACAGGACAGTTATCCCAACGTGAGCAAGCTTGTCATGTCGCCTCCTTTCTCAATTATGAAGAGAATAGTGGCCAGGCTGCAAAACCGCCCAGAAAACATCTTAAAAGTGACCCCATCATGAGGCGGATAAAGCAAATCATATGAACTTTTTGGTCAACCTACATTTCTATTGACATCCCTTCTATTTATGCATTACTACTCTTTGTGTGATTTCTCGGAAGTCCGTATTAGGCATATGAGGAGCCACCAAATGTTCCAGGCATCAGTGTATATTGTTATTATATCTATCGACAAATTTTACCTCTTAACACACACACAAACACACACATAATTATATATATTGACTACAATAGGATAGAAGTCGGTCTTGACTCCAACTCAAAGGCTGGATTAGTATGGATACCTTCTGATTTGAGTATACTGACGGATAGAGTCAGTAATAACGAAAATTCAAAGGTAATTTCCGATTTCAACAAAAACCAGCCAGGTTAGGAGTTTGGAGTGGTTTGAAGCACCCTGGTGAATTTCACTGACGACCAGTGGCACACTCAACAAAATCCCGAGGACGGAGTTAATGGGGTTAATCGTAGACAGGACATTTTTTCAACACCCTCTCTTTCCTTCCATTTGTCAATCAGGCATTTTTAGTTCTTCGAAGGTATGAAGACCAAGATGGTGTGGCATTTTGTGTGGTCGCAGTCTCCTTTCGTTGTATAGAAGTTGTTTGACCTTGTTTTCACAACTTGGTCATGTTGGTAGGAAGACTTAGAGGAATGCACCTATTTCGGAGTCCATTGTATGCATCATCATTTCCAGAGTAGGACCGTGGACGTGGTACATTTCCAGATGTTTCGCCGGCATCGTCAGTGAGTCTCGCCATTCGTAGCAACATATTACAACTCGTCATTGAGACAAGTGAAGCCCATCCTTTGACCAAAGGTGTGCTAAACAGTTATGGTATCTCCCCTTCTGCCCTGGGCTATTCACATTTCCTATATCCTCCTATCCTATCCTACTATCAGAGGGAGACTTTCATAGAACCCAGAGAAGGACTACGTAACACTATGACAGACTCTGGTCAACATTCACAGCACAAGGGTGAAGGGGGTGATAACGACAGTTTGGAGTGTGAAGGGTTTTCATGAATGCCGCTCGAAGGAACACACCACACTATATTAAAAATAAGGACGGTAAAAATTGTGACAGGGAAGGTGTGATAGGAGGATATAGGAAATGTGAATAGCCCAGAGCATAAGGGGAGATTCCACAACTGTTTAGCACACGTTTGGTCAAAGGATGGGCTTCACTTGTCTCTTTGACGAGCTGTATTATGGTACTACGAATGGCGAGACTTACTGACGATGCCGACTACGATGCCGGCGAAACGTCTGGGAATGTACCACGCCCACGGTCCTACTCTGGAA